GTAGATAAAGTTACGGTTATGTACAGAGGCAGATTAACTAGCGTCTAGAGGCACCGAATTATCTTGGCTCCCTGGCTCCTAGAGATGCGCGTTTTATAGAAATGTACTCAAACTCAACAACACAACCCAACCGACCCCGCCCCATTGGGCCCCCCCCCGCCCCATTGAGCAAAAAACCCAACTAAAATGGGCAAATTTATGTTACGATAAAAATAAAACACTTTTTAATTACATAAATTATCCCATTTTAGTTGGGTTTTTTGCTCAATGGGGCGGGGGGGGGCCCAATGGGGCGGGGTCGGTTGGGTTGTGTTGTTGAGTTTGAGTACATTTCTATAAAACGCGCATGTCTAGGAGCCAGGGAGCCAAGATAATTCGGTGCCTCTAGACGCTAGCATTTCAAATATATGGTACCTAATGTTTGAAAATAAAATGAATTTAAACCATATAACACTATAGTATACTTAATACAAGTCAACGCGTCTCTGTATATTGATATTTTTTACAGGGACGCCTCTGTACATAACCGTAACTTTATCAACAGAGGCGCCTCTGTACATAACCGTAACTTTATCTACAGAGGCGCCTCTGTACATATACACTTCGTATAATAAATGAACTTGAAAACAACTTAATCCACAAATTCTAAAAATACTTGGAAAAAACTAGCTGAACTAGCCAAAGAACAGATCTTCTGGCGGGGCCATTAAGTCCATCCTTAATAGAAAATTCTCACGTCACACTAAGATTTTTTTAATTTTCTGTCTTTTCTAAATAAATTAATTTTATCAAACAATTTACCAAAGAAAATTATTATTATGATAATTAAAAAATCCACTTTAATAATTAAAAAACAAACCATAACAATATTTTTAATATTGCAAAAAATATATTTGTTTGGTTTGACCCCTTATGTGATTTGTCCCATTCTCATTTATAAATAATTATTTATCATTAATTAGGTATTAATTATGAAAAAGTAATTATTTCATGATTACTAATTAATTTAAGACAATCACTATGCTTTATATTAATACTGTACTGCATTGTTAATCAATTAATTAATCAATGACTGTATACTGTACCAAACATCGCCGCAATTTATGAATAATGCAAGATAATAAACCTCAAATATTGGCTTACAGCAGCTCTTTGGCACATAAGTTTTCAAACATCATGTATCCAAACAGCAAATTTTGATATCGGAATAGCAAATTAGACACCGATGATGTTTATAAACATAGATGTTTAAGAAATTCTTTGAGCGCATGCGTGTACGAGGTGTGTTCAGAAAATAACGGGAGTTGTTAAATTTCGCGGGTTCAGAGGGTCCGGTAGTCATAAAATTTTCTTTATTATGTTGGTATACATGCCCCCGAAGTATGATAAAAACTTTAGCTGGTTTCATTGTTTACTTTGTCTGTGGCAGCCGCTAAGGTTAGACGTGTTTTATAAGCTCGGCGATTTTTCGGTCGTTAAAAGAAATGGATCAAAGAATTTGTATCCAATTTTGCTTAAAAAATGAAATAAATTCTGTGAAATGTTAACAAAGGCCTATAGTGAGTCTGCTATAAGTAAAACAAGAGTTTACAAGTGGTATAAGAGTTTCCAAGATGGCCGTGAAGACGTTGAAGATGACGAACGCCCCGAACGCACAAGCACATTAACAATCGATAAAAACATGGAAAAAGTGGAAGAAATGGTTATAAACCATCAGAGAAGTCGCTGATGATGTTGGTATATCGATTGGCTCATCCCATGAAATTTTTTCTAATGTTTTGGGTATGAAACGCGTGGCAGCAACATTTGTTCTAAAATTGTGAACAAAATTTTTGGCCAAAAACAATACTGTAATGATGCCCCAGCCTCCATATTCGCCAGCATGCCTCTGTCTGACTTTTTCCTATTCCCAGATGACATTAAAAGCGCATCGCTGAAAGAACTAAAGGCTATCCCAAAGATCGAGTTTTAGAAGTGTTTCCAGTATTGGAAGAAGAGCTGGCACATGTGCATAATATCCAATGGGGACTATTTTGAAGGCGACAACATTAATGTACACGAATAAATAAATATTTGTTTCAAAAAACGAAAATACCCGATATTTTATGAACACACCTCGTATAGACGAAATAATTGTAGTTCATGAACATGCATGTTCAACGAAAGGGAATAGACCTCTAAGTCACTTGAAAAAGCTTAGTCCCTAGGCAGTGGCGGACTAAGGGGGCGGAGAGACCACGAGCACCAAATCTCGAAAATTTTTCCACTGTCTAATAAAAATAACGCTGAAATGTATTGTTTAATAAAAGGCATTTATAGTTGGGGGCAGAGCTGGGAAAGTTACTTCTGAAAAGTATCTAGTTACTTTTCTAAGATACTTTAAACAAACTAACTTAGTTATCTCTGGTAACTAGATACTTTGAGTAACTAAGTTACTTTTAAGTTTGAATAAAAACTATAAAATTATAAAAATTCAACAAGTTGTAGGTTAGGTAATTACTCATTCTGGAATTCCCCCAATTTTCTCTAAGAAAGTTACACTGAAAAGTATATAAGTTACACTGAAAAGTATCTAAGTTACACTGAAAAGTATCTAAGTTACACTGAAAAGTATCTAAGTTACTTTAATAAGTATCTTAGTTACTTTAAAAAGTATCTTAGTTATTTTAAAGTATCTAAGTTACTTGAATGTATCTTAGTTACTTTACCGAGTAACTTAGATACTTTTTAAGATACAAGTTACAAGATACTTTGCCAAAGTAACTAAGTTAAAGATACTTTCTGTCCAATATAAAAAGTATCTAAGATAAAGTATCTTAGATACTTTAAGTATCTAAGTTACTTTTAAGTATCTTTTTTTTAAGATACTCCCAGCTCTGGTTGGGGACCCCCGAGACATATGGCAATTACATCTATCTAGTTATAGCCAGTAAGAGTTCTCCAAAAGCTTTATTAAAAAAATGTATATTATGGATACTGAGGGTATATAAATAGCCCTCGGCTGCAACGGACCCTCAGGACCAAAAAGCTTCACCAAAAAAAAACAAAAAATAGAAATGTGACGTGCTCCGAGAAAACCAACATAAGGTCCAAAAAATGATTTTAGAGATTATGATTGTTTTAGTGGATTGGTACAAGGTCTTTCAAAAAGATTAATAATTATTTTACTTAAAAGTGATGATGGTGATTTGGTGATATGTTAAACAAATATTAGAAATATTCAAGTGCTTAAAGTACTTTTTGTCAACGATTTTGGCATCTTTAGAAGCGAAGTGTAACTAAATTTAACTGCTAAATCTACCATATTTATACTAATTATAAGCTAAGGTTGACGGAACCGTGAATGGACACAGTTTACTAAACTTTGGACAGTAACAGCTAAAACACGTAAAGAGAAACTAACTAACTAATTTATACAAACTAGAGTTGGGTACCGGGTCCGTTATCGCTATTTAAAGATTTATTTATTTCTATTCTTAAAGATGTATAAACTTTCATAACTATCTATATCTATATCTTGGATAACACTCGATTTCTCTGTCCTACCAAATCTAGCATGGGTCAAGTGCTCTTTGAACCTTACTTGGATGGATCGTTTAGTTTGTCCAACATATTTCTTGTCACAATCTTAACAGTTTATTTCGTAGATTCCCGACTTTTCAATTTTAGGAATCTTATCTTTTGGCCTTTTAGCGATAACGGACTGGTACCCAACTCTAGTTTGTATAAATTAATTTGTTAGTTTCTTTTTACGTGTTCACTGAAGCGGTTACGATCCACAATTTAGTAAACTGTGTATATGGTAGATTTAGCAGTTACATTTAGTAACACTTCGCTTCTGAAGATGCCAACGTCGTTGGCGAAAAGTACTTTAAGTACTTTGTGTTTTGTTTTGGTGTTGGGGAATATTTCTTATATTTGTTTAACAATGATTTGTTTATCTCAAAAATTGACAATGCTACGAATTTCCAAAGTCAAGCGTTACTACACAAACGCCTAATTGCATTTATGGATCTAAGGTTCGTTCTCTCGTAGCTATACAGGTTCAAGAAAAAATACATTAAGACCTCTTTCAGGTATTAGAAAAGAAGATCCTTATCACATTAAATCTAGGACTGCTATGATAAGTTTTCTGGAAAAAACTTGTCCCTGCTTTTATTTAGGGTCTTGGTAGGCCCCGGTTACGAAAATCCACAATATTAGATACTAAACCATTTTTTTTAATAATACAACTTTTCGTATTTTGCCGCTCTATCAATATTTAACAGAAATGCTATGATATAATCTAATTTTGAATTTTAACTTTCAATTATTGTATATGGTGTGATGTCAAAAGATAACAATCAATTAACCTATTAATTGATGTTTAATTGTTGTACAATATTTTGCCAAACACAAGCGTATTGTTAAAGTAAAAATCGTAAAATGCATTTTTTTCGTAAGATGTAAACCTATTATTTATAAGTTTATAAACTTAATTTTTACGCTTTCATATTTTAATAATAAAGGTAGCATTTTTTAACAATTTTTGATGCGCGTCTTCTGAGACATTCTTTGAAGTTAATGTTTTTAATGGTTTATTCATTGGTCATTACTCATTTAATTAATTAAAAAATGTATTTGGATAAGCAGTGTTAAAACTGAAATTTAGACAAATAAATTTCCCCGATAACAAAATGTAATATGATAAATGGAATAGAATAATTAAACAACTTCTAAGAACAGACTGTTTATTCAAAAGTTCCGACAACCATGTAAAAACTACCGCATAGACAAATAGTCACGCAATCATAAGTATAGCCCTATTTTCATTATAATTTCCTAAACTCACAACCTTATCTAGGTACTCTATCTTTGCCATATGCTAAGTAAAATAATGTTTTGTCACAAAATACTTTAAAGAATGTTAATAGTTAACCTATAATTTTCGTTCAAAACGTTTTATTTTAAGAACTTTTAGATAAATTGTATTTCTTGTATCTCGTAAGGGATTTTCTTACCTGACATTGAAGGATAGGAGGAGTACGGTGATTCAATGGATGGATGCTGCCATTCCATAGCTTTACAAGGAGCGTGTGAACTCATGTGATGTAACCTGGATCCGGGAAGCAAAAGACCACCATATTGTGCTGCCATATTATGGTGGTGGTAATCAAATCTATGGTGTTGACTATATTGATACCAGGCGTCACCTGGATGATAATGTTCACTGTACAAATCTGCTGCCGACGCACCGTGATGACCAGTACCGCCGTTAGCGCCACTATAGTGTTGACTATTCCAAAAGGAAGGGGGGAAATTTCGAGTAGACATTGGGGAACTTTCTGAAAAAATGATAATTTTTACTTTAGTACATAGTTTCACCTACTTTTTTTATTAAAATATTAATCCATTATTTAAATTTTAGAGGGACAACATTGAATCACCAATGCGTGTAAATAAAAAAGTAAATTTAGCCCCACGTCGGATTGCAAATAGGGAAAACTTTTTCATTGCGCATAAAAACTCTTGCTTGTTTCAAGAATGAGGTCCCTTAAAAAATTGTTTGAATCAAATATACACTCTCACTCTCATTAAAGCAAACTCATGCTTTCTTAAATTTTAAGCACCTTGTATACATTTGTTCCAAATTATTTATTGGGAATTTCGTTTTGAATATCTTATAAAGAATGATTTTTTTTCTTAAAGCGCATAATAAAACCGATCCGGGGACACTGTAGAAAAAAGTTCAGATTCAGTTTCAGCGGACATGTTTTTTTTGTAGGCCTGTGTAATTTATCCTACTACATTTTTGCTGTATAAAGTGTAGCAATAAATAGCGCTAGGCTACGAACTAAAAACCAAAGGTATACCTTAGTAGTAGTACTATAGTACTACTACTTTTTTCAACGTTTTAAAACTTGGGAGCAATGTACTGCACCATTTTTAGGTTGCAGTAAAAATACCAAAATGTGTCGGGAATGATTGTGATCGGTTAAAACAAACATTTATTTGTTAAAGTGACCTTTACCTACCACTGGTAGGCTACCAGTCCAATGTACTAAATACATTTGGTTGAATTGACTCAATATAATTTGTTACCCTAACTAGGTTAACGGCTTGGTACAACTTACCCATAGCGTTTGGCGCATTTATATACCTAACAATAAAAATAGGATCATGAAATATTTGGAGTATAATTATTTTTTTTCAAGCCATTCATTCAATTTTCTTATAGTCTTCAAGAAACAGGAAGCTCCTTGACGCATTACTAGTATAATAGGTACCAGTGGTATTATTCAAGAAAATTAATTTTAGTGCGTTCCACCAATTTAAAATAGGTACTTCAAGTATTGACAGCTGTTTCCACCTATTTTAGGTCTCTTTAGTATTGAACATTGAAAGCAAAGGACTACCTGAGCTTATATACTCTCCATGTAAGTCAACAGAGGCGAGATTTAAGAACATCACGTGATCCACACCGCCTTTGCAGCGATCGTTACATACTATGCAACCAGGAATGCACAGCAAATTGTTTTAATCGTTTTAACAAAGTGCTTAATGTTGAAGTAATTCTTATTTTACAAAAAACATATTTAGTAAACTGAACCATACTGCGGGTTGGTTTCACCAAAGTTTTCTGGGTTAATTTAACCAATTTAAAAAAATAAAATAACTATCTGGTTTAGTACCGTCAAACTAATCTTTGTTTATATTAACCTTCCCACAGTTGATTTAAATAAATACTTATGGGTCAACCAAATTAATATAGTTAAATTAACCATTCCTTTTTTTCTGTGTAGAACGGTAGCATTCATGTTTGTTTTTTTTTTCGATTTTGGCTACTTTTTAAGTCGATTTTGGATGACTTTTTTACGCTTTGACACGTTTTTTTCAAAGTACCACATTGCCCCAAAATTTGCCATGCCAATTTCAGAATCTTAATACAAATCGAAATTATCGACAAAACAAATACCAGATTCGTAATTAGCGAAAAAATTAATTTGAGAAGCATTATGACATATTCTTTCAAGTAAAAGCGTTAAAAAAAATACTCGTTTTTTACGAATACCGGTGATAGATGAACGATAAATGCTACAATGACATACATGAGTATTGTGTGTGTTTTTAATAATTAAAAATAGCGCCCCTAGCTTAATACACAAAATTTGTACCCAACCCCAAATAAACTTTTTAAAAACATTACCCACAAACCTAAATATTGTTACAGTAACGTCAACTGCATTATAGACCAAAACTTGCAAGTTAAACTAATGAAATATAAATTTATTTATAATAGAATAACATTTTTTAGTGTTTAAGTTGGTTTGACAATAAAAAAAATAGTTATTTATGTCGTAAAGCTGAGAATTTTTGTGCTGAGCCCAAAGTTTGAAGGCCGACGCGTTAGCGAATGGTATACAAAATTTTATCTTCAAGGCACAGTTTTATTTGTTAAACGATTCATAAAACGTACTTACAATAATTGTTATAATAACAATTATTGAAAGTATATAGTAAGGTTAGATAGTTTCAGAGCTGTCAGCAGTTATCGAATTTTGTTTTTACAGGCTAGGATGTAAAAAACTTCATCTCAATTATTTTCACAGCCTAGATGATAATTATTATTATCGATTATAATCGAATGCTTTGGTAGTGAGCGTTGACAATAATTAAGCTTGAATTTAGAACGCTTGAAGATAAAATTTTGTTTTTAAATGAATATTTTTAAAAGAGAAAACATTTAAAAAAGTTGTGCCTCATTGTATTAAGACTAAATAATTAAGTTAACTTAAGAAAAAAAATATTTATTTTCTAAAGAGTATTTTAAAGAAAGAAAGAAATATACCCGTGTTTTGGCGTTTATTCAGATCACGTAATTTTTTTTAAGTGCGGTCCAACAAAATGTTATCCACGGTACTCGACACATAATATAACAGCTTCGACAACTAGACTGTATAGTTATAACATTATTTTAATTATATACAGGGTGTTGCACATTTACGAAATACAGGGTGTTTCACGTTCGTGGTCCATTGAAAGTTTCTGGGGAACGGCAAAAGATCTCGATTTAAAATTTTTAAAGCGTTTATAAATCAATTAATATATTTTTATAAAATATTTTGAACAAAATGCCACTTTTGGTTTGACCGGAAGTGACATCAACTTTGTTATTTTAAATAGGACACCCCATATATTTTTACATTTTTAATTTTTTTCGTTAAAATTACAAATGCGCGTCAATTAAAAATAGTCTATAACTTTTTTGTATTAGGTTTGCGTAAATGGGGGTGGAATTTGTTTTTTAACAAATTACCCATAAAAACCCAGGGCAAATTAGGCTAACTTAAAACGTCAATAACTTTATAATTTTAAATGTAAGTGTTTTTACATATTCAAATAGAAAATTAAAAACCTACCTAAATTTAATAATTTCAGAGATATTTAACAATTTCTAATATTAGATCCAGAATTGTCAAGAAGTGCAAGGACTAATGTAGAAGTAAGAATTAAGAAATGCTTGAATGTTAATGGAGGACACTTTGAACATTTAGTAATAAATTAGTGATTAAAATTGTTAATTAAAATATTGTTGGTTTATTAAACTGTTACAATTACGCATTCTTTTTGTGATTAAAATAAATATTTCATATGGCATTTTGTTCAAAATATTTTAGAAAAATAGACTTAAATGGATTATAAACGCTTCTAAAATTTCAAATCTTTTTCGTTCCCCAGAAACTTCCAATGGACTACGAACAGTAGCGGCCCGTGACATTTCATTTTGGTGAGGCAGAGGCAGGGTTTCGCCCTCATTTAAAGGCGAAGAAATTTTTTTAAACCCAACTTAAAAAAACTGACGTCGCAGTTCACAACCTATACTTAAAACTAAGTAAAAAACTTAGACTGTGGTGGGAAAGGAATCCTCTACTTAATGAAATATTTTTTATAGTAAAAATGACGTTTATTTTATATAAACCTCATTTTTGTCTAATTAATATTTCATTGATCAGCAAGAACCATGTGAAGGTGTAGAGGTAAAGTGCAGGATTATTAATATAACCATTAGGTTTAAGCCCTAATCATTAAATTAATAATAGTACACCATCTTGCCGGGAAAAAGGGAAACTGGGAAGCGGAACTGAAGGGAAGTAAGGGTAACTGGAGAGAAAAAAGGGATAAATGAGTTGCGTATAACTAAAAACTAAATTCTCCTTATAAAAATGGGAACAGTGCGAAACAATCAACAAAATAAATATAACTCAACAATATCGGTACAATTTCTTACTGCAATATCCATAATGACTAAATTCACATTAATCACAAAGTTCAATTAACTAAACCCACAGAATAAACCACTTACAAAAGAATCATAAAATAGACAAACTTATAGAAAAAGAATAAACAAAATATTGCGTAAATAACCACAGATTTGTTCTTTAAACAGTTCAGAATTTTATAACCAAAACAAACGTAAAGAAGAAATCTGTATTTATTTTATTGGTTACTGTGATGGCTACAAGATGGCGATAGTGTTAAAATATCTTTATTTTAGAATAGAAATATAATTTCGATTAAATCGATTAATAAATAATAATAATAATAATAAGAAAAATAATACCATTTATTATTGAATTTTGAAAAACGTGTTAAGTATAATTTATCTAAAATTCCGCAACAGTGTTGCTTATTTCCTTGTATGTAGGCGTGCCTCCATCGCGTATGCTAATACGAGAGAAGGAGACAACTATGATATCGCATTGTAATAGAACGAGACAACAAGGCTAACGCCAATCGTGAGTCTAAATTAGTTCAGGCATGCTTCTGAGCCAATCATCTAGCTATAAATGTTAGTTTAAATTGCGGTCGTTTCAAATTCAAATAATTTTAATGTTGCTGGGTATTCCACGTATAAAATCAATCAATTTTATTGATTATTTCATAATTGATGTAATCCAAATATTAAAAATTTATAGTATATTATAGAAAGTAAAATATTTAAATTATACTTAATTTTTGAATTCTCTATGATGAGGCACTGCCTCACTTGCCTCCCCTGACGGGCCGCCACTGACCACGAATGTGAAACACCCTGTATATCAAGTGTTGTTTTTAGGTTGTGATACCACTATACATTTTAAAGCAATGTATAATCGTCAAACTAGAGGACCAAGATTTGTTTCCAACATATATTGAATATAAGATAAATACAAATCTGTTTTATTAAAAAAAAAATCAAAAATTAAAACAGAAATTATTCTTTTTTATTTAAAAAAAATTAAAATTATTATTTTTTTTAAGTATAATTTTTGTATTATGTAAAAACATACAATATTTGAAAAAA